GGAAAGTATGGGCATGATGTTAGAAAACACCAAGCGGGCAAAACATTTGGGAGCAAGATAAAACAAAGTCTAAAACAGGTTATAAAGAACAAAATCAGTTGTGTTTTCTCTTTTATAGCGATAGGGGTTTTCTATAAACTTCTAGGTTTATGGACTTCCGCATGGATTTTACAAAGAGTAGTTTATTCAACAACATCTCTCATGACTAAAACAAAAATAACTCATCCTTTAAGTCCAGGAGTGTAGTTGCTTAATGTCTGGACTTACCTCTTATTTCCTATCCATTGCATGACAACATGAAAACACAGCTACGAAGTACAGATAATATTATTCACCAAGGAACTGACTGATAAAATTTGAAAAAGTGGGCTACAGGAGGCAATGTTATTGACTTACTGGATTTTACTGCTATGAATGTTCTTGGAAAGGATTCTTCCATTCTGCACAGCAAAGAAAAATTTTGTAAAAGATGTCCATAGAAATGAAAATGAACGGATAATTACTGTTAAAACTTGCATTGTCCAAATTACAGAAGCAAAGCCCATTGGGATAAGAAATCAACATAGGAGCAGCACACATTTTTGAATGTTAGTATGTTTTATCTGTATAGTTGAAGGTAATCAGTTATCAGGTATTAAAAAAGCAATGGAAAAAATAACCAGGAGCACAACATTACATAAAATCATAGAATCACTGAATGGTTTGGGTTGGAAGGAGCCTTTAATCACCATCTAGTCCAACCGCTCTGCCATGGGCAGGGACACCCTTAACTACATCAGGTTGCTCAGAGCCCCATCCAGCCTATCCTTGAATGTTTCCAGGGATGGGGCATCTACCACCTCTTTGGGCAACCTGTTGCAGTGTTTCACCATCCTCATCATAAAAAATTTCTTCCTAATACCTAATCTAAATCTCCCCTCTTTCAGCTTTTTTCCCCCCTCTTAAAGCTTTCAGCATAGCACGTACAAACTGATAATGAAAATTTGTGTGAACACCTGCATCTCCAAATGGATGGTGAGCTTCAGGTTTCCCTTCAGTGCTGAGTCTCATGAAAAATACTGCGAGCACTGCAAGGTGACGCACCCTCATGGGAGGTGCTGCTCATCCCAAACATGCATTGCCTTTAACATTCAGATGACAGTGCTGGTTTCTTGGGTGCATGACGTTGCTCTTATGGGGTTTCCTGGGTCAAAAAGCAGCTACAGAATTATGCCATTTTTCTTGGAGCTACCTATGCCAAATAAGCATGCAAGTTTATCAGGATGTCTGGGATGCACTATAATAAAAAAGATTATGCTTTTTATCTATGTGTCTGGGATATTAACTGAAATCAGGGCAGGGCATTTCTGAGCAGAGGTAATATCTACTATTAAACAACTCACATATATACATTAAAAAAATCAGAAAAACCTTCAGATGCTATGCCCCTACTTCAGTGTGACTAAAAGCTTTATCAGTTTTTTCAGCTACAGTGGCTGGCTTAATAATGTGTGGTGTGTTGTTGGGGTCCTTAGTCAACCACAGCCTCAGCAAAAGTTCATTCTAATCTGAAGAGTTAAATAATTTAATTTTTTTTTTAATTAACACACATTTTACCATACCTTTCATGTAGGGTAATTATTTCTGGAGTAGTCTTTCCTTCATAAGCCTTGGATTTCTCACTGCTATGGTTTGCAACAACAAACTGTACTTCTCAAACATCTCTTTTGTCAGAACAAGCCCACCGTTCAAGCATCACAGCCAAGGCTTGGCAGGGAACTCTCTTCATCTCATGGAATAAGAGTCATTAATGGACTAATTAGGATATCTGCATCAATTTCTCAGTTTGTATAACTACAAGCAAAACCGGAACTTTCACTTTTAGCCTAGTTCAGTAATTTATAGACCTCAGATGATGAAAACCGTGCTTAACTCTTCATTCAAGTAAAAAAAAAAATCCACTTAGCGAAATCAGTAGGTTTGCATGAATAAGGGTCACATAAAAAACATTTTCTGGATGGAGTTCAAAGAACTGACCCAACCCATCATACCCCCTGAAGCCACACCTACTCCTCCTGCATCCCATCTCCATCCCCAGCTTCGTGCAGTAGCCTTCAAAAGCAGCTGCAAAGTGGCAGAGCAATGGGACACGCAGGAATCAGAGAGCGCTGACTCTCACAGCCCATGTTTGCAGGATCAGCAGGGGAACAACGTGAATTACTTTTCCTAATCCTATCGGAAGGAGCAGGCGTGAACTTCAGACCTGGTTTCATTCCAAAAAGTAAGCACGACATTAGGAACTGTACAAAGCTACTGAAAAAGGCTTTACAGTGAAAAGTTGGTTTTAAAATTGTTTTCCTACAGACCAGACATTGTTCCCTGCCTCGTGTGATGTCCTGTCCTGCAAAGACTGCTCCCACCGCTGCATGTGCTTCATATGGGGCACATTCATAAGCTTCTCAATCCCGACTTAATAACACTTCTTACATTGGAGCTGTCCTTTAGTTCACGTGCAGCACCAAATGAAGTCAAGGGGACATTGCAGAACAAGGCATTACACACAGAGCATCCATCCTTACAGTTTATATTGTCTAATTAAGGCTTATGGTGCAGCTACAGCAGGTCAAGGCTCAAGCTGCAGTTCAAACTACCACAGTCATAATTTTCACCTGTCTTTCCTGAACAGATGGCCCCACGATAGGATAAATATAACTTGTTTATTCTGTTCAAGCTGCTTGTGAAAGCAGCTTACAGAGCCTGAGCGTCTCACAGAGTCGTCATGAAAATTCTCACGCCAAAGCACAAAATATGTATTTCTCTGTTCTTTGCCTGGCTGATTAACGACAGGAAAACAGATGGTGTTTGCTCATTTATCAAATTAAACAGAACTCCCCAAACCATCACCAAGAAAACACTCCTCCTGAGTGATTTGCAGGGTTGATCTTCACATCACTCTCATTAACACATCTCTCCAGGAAGCTCTAATTATCCAGACAGTGACTTTTCGGTCTCTTGCCCACAACTACTCATTCCTTCCGTCTCTTCACTGTCTGGTCCTTAAATGCCATCTCAGTGTCACTGCCTTAACTTCACCATTCCTCGTCTCCTTCCTTATCCCGCTATTAGTCTCTAATTGCAAAAAAAAAAAAAAGGAAAAAGAAAACTTAACGGCCAGACAACTCTCCCTTATTTGTTCACAGCCACCTGAGTTAATAATTCTTTGTTCGTTCTGTGCTCATCAACAAGAAGATTGAGGGGAAAGCAAACTTTAGATATTAATGCATTCTCCCTAAGAACATGTTTGAAGTAAAAGCAGAAACACACCTTAAAAGCTTGCAGATAGTTATTATGCTTGAGAAGTACTGAGGAAAAGGGACTTACCTAAGCCTGGACATGCAGTTCCACTGATTTCGTATGATTACCAGTAAGCATATGATTAAACAGGTTGCTGAATTTTAGCCAGAAAATTCAATTCTGCAAAAGTCTGAGCACTCTTCCACCAATATGAACATGTTCATGAAACTTTCAAGTAAACCTTCCTGTTACTAACATTCTACCAAATGTCATACAGGCAATAGCACATTACTCATGATTGGTACTTTCTTAATCTGAACTGCATCTTTGTTAATTTAAATAGCAAACTTCTATTAATGCGCTACTTTTCAAAAAAAAAAAAAAAGGAATAAAAATACTATGTGAGCCCATGCAGGTATATCTGAAGATCTTACAATGCTTTTCTTTTATATGATCCATGTCTTTCAATAGGACAACACATCCATGTTTAAGTTACATTGCAGGTGCAGGTAGTTGGGTGAAGAGGGAGGGAAGGAATTCTCCATACCCCTCTGCATCACCCAAAGGGATCAGTCAGGCACTGATGTTTTCTTCTGATATTTCCCTGGGCCTCACTACTTTCAAATACATTTATGTGAACAACTGTGTTGAAACAGACCTCCTTACCCTCCACATGCATTAAAAGCAAGACAACCCACTGCATGCACGAGAGAAACTTGCAGATCTTCAAAGTGAACCTGATTATGAGCCAACTTGGCAAACAGTGAACAATCACCTAAAAATGCACCCCAACGAACAGCAGCCATGCAAGAGGATGCTAAGCATTGCACAGTATCTCTGCACTCTGGACCCTGTGGGCTGGGCAGGAGAACCCATCGTGTCCCAGAGCCCAGCACATCCTGGAAGTTATCGGGGCAAATCTAACGTACACAGTGAACGCACATCAAAAAAACTAACTTTTGGCTCTAAACTGAAAGCATATTTTTCCAAAGGAATGTATAAAAATGTATTTACAATAAATAAAAAAAAACAAACAAGAGCCACTACATTATGTATCAGGTTTTTATCCCCAACTACTTTTCTCTTATCCAACAGAATCAGGATGAGCAAGCGATACATGACAAATGCTTGTCACGTTATCTGATGAACTATCAAAAGGAGTTCAATGAGAAGAAGGAAAGTAAATGCTTGTATGGAATCACAGCAGTAATACACAAATAGGCATATAAAAGCTCACTAAAATATGCTCAAGTTTTGTACTTCTCTTTGTGGCACTTAACAAACACCCAGAGATGGGTCTCACATCTAAAAAGTTAAAATTTCCATGTCATTTATACCAAAGGCATTAGAAGTATAAACTGTTAAGTATATAAACATAACCTTTACACCTGATTATTTACCTTAAACTATGTAATGTATTTTATAAGCAGTAATATGCTATATCCCCTTCTAAAAATTTAAACAATTCTAGCAAAACAGGATTTCTACAATATCAAGTATTATGATGCACTCTGCAGTAAATAACCCTTTTTGAAATGCACGTGCAAAAAAAAATAATTGGTACAAGGATCAGTCATATTTCTGACAACACAGAGTTCTATGTGTTTCAATGCTTTAACATAACATTAACACTAGAATTTAATCTGCAGACAATATTTTACATTTTTATTTCATGACAAGGGTTCCTTGTCGGGGCATTCACCAGGATTCTGCTTTCTGACCACAACTCACTCTGCTGCTTCCAAGTTGCTTGGTTTTCCCATTGCTAACTCACCATGATTTTTGTACTTCTCAGCAAAATAATCGGAGTCGAAGCTTACAGAGAAATCTGGAGGACTCACATAAACATTCCCATTGTCTATTGCCACTTTGTGAATCCTTTGTTTGACTCCTTTTGATTGCCACTTTGGTTTTGGTGATGTCTCCAAAGGGTTTATTCCTTCATATAATCCTTCTCCAGTTTCCAAAGTAATTTTAAACTTATGCCAAGGACAAACAATACATGCTTGACCATCGATATCCTGCACAGAAAAATAAAAATAAAAATAAAAATGAAGTAATCAGCCTCTGATTCTTCTCCTGGAAGACTCTATAGGACAAAAGGCACGTCTGGTGATCTGACTGTACGGCTGTCTGCTATTTTACATATATATCCATTTATTCTGATGTTTGTTTAGATAAAAGTATTCAAAAAATGCATTAGAGATTTCATATGACTCTATGCCCTTACATTATTTTTCTTTTGCTTCCATACCTCTATTTGTCCAAGACGTAAAGGGCCTCCTTCATCTGAAATAGGGTAGAACACTGAATTAATTTATGCACCAGATTTCATGATTAATTGTTGCAAGATTGAAATAATACATGCAAATATCTTACGGTAGCAGCGAGAGTCCATAGCATAAAATTTCCCTTCATGGTAGAAAACAACAAGTTCTCTGCCATCAATTTTGGCCGTTGCTCTTCCGGACCTCTTGATGTCATTTTCTTTGCCAATTAATATAAGACCATCTGGCCCCGTTTCAGCTGTTTCTGTGCTTGAGCTGTGCAAACCCACATCCTTAAAACACACAAAAAAAAATCAAAAAGCCACCTTATGAAACAGTTTTTCTTTGAATTTCCACACACATAATGGGTGTCTCGGTCCTGACCCACTGAACACATGAAGTGGAAGGAGCAGCGGTTTCAGTAAAAGACCATGAGCATGCAGACAGAGCAAAGCACACTAGTCTGGTGATAGTGTTTGTCCCACATGTTCGCCAACAGAACTGGGACTAGGAAAAACAGCTGTTGCAAACCTGATAGCTGAGGCAGGACACATTCTCAATCACTATTCATTAACTGTGTACTTTAATCGCCATTGCCCCAGGAAAGCTACGTGGAAAAAAAAAATCAAGAATGCTATGTGCAAAATACTATGCTATGTAGCTATGCAATGGATAAACAGTAGGATTTACATGTTAATTCAATACTCTTTAAATCATGATTATTATTATTATAGTTATTCTTATATTAATTACGGCTACAAACTGATGTAAGTTGATAAAAACCTGAAAATATCCCTGCAAAAGGGAAAAAAATGGTTTATTGAGAAGCTGTGTTCAACCTGGGCTTTTTAGCAAATTTATCTGCCTTTCCCTTCCTCCTCTTACATATTTCACGTCTCACAGCCTCTCCCTCTCTCATCAGACGACATAAATAGTTTTATCACAAAACCTGCCTTCCTATTAAATTAGCTTACAATTAGCTTCTGCGTTTAGTTCCCTCTGAATTCCCAGTCCAACCACGCCATCCTCGCTTCCACTGAAAAATAAGGCTAAAAAAGCTCTTTGCATGCACCAAGACCGAAGGGCAACCACGGGTTGTGACCCTGCTGCAGGGACATACCAAGCCCCAAAGAGCTGTCCCGTACCTTTGATCCACGCCAGATCACGACGGAGATGAGGAAGCAGAGGAAGAAGTGGAGGCTCAGAATAACAAGGTCCAGCATTGTCGTTCCTTGCTGTGCCTCTCGCCACCCGTCCTGCCTGGGTCATGCATGTAGCTGCATGCGTTAAATGCAGAGAGGGAGCAGCAGGGCTCCTATAGCTCCGGGGGCAGGATGTACGTAGGCTGAGTGTGGCAGGAGCTCTGCTGGGGATGATAAGCAGCGGAGATGTGCTGGGGTTGGGCTGATAACAGAAAGAGATCTCTGGGTTCCTTCCTGTCACTTTGCTCCCCATGGTTGTCACCACCACCGCTGCCTCCTCCAAGTGGGATAAGCCAAAATGAAACCCTGCTCGGAGGCGTGCTGTACGTTACATGTTTATTCAGGATCAGCACTTGCAAATCTCCCAACAAACTGTTCCACTGGGAAGACTGGTGTAAATAAGTGTGGAGTTCTCAAGGCGACTTGTTATCTGATTTGCAAACATCAGCCATAAATAAGGACTGACACCCGGCGTTCCACTTTACAGGATTTTCTACTCAAGTCTTACCCAGAAAGTGAATCATCACTGCCAGGCTCACAGGATCATCGAATAAGGCACTCATAGCTTGTAGCAAATAGCCACAAGAGCTGGAAGAGGAAATCCCCAGTTTTTTACTAGCATATTAACTTCCCAAATTGTCCAAAAACCTTAAGACGCAGAAGCCTCTATCTAGAAACACTCTTATAAAGACACCTCTAAAAATGTCTATGTCTAACGAGACATGTATAGAGATACAGGCACACACATATATCTACACACATCAACACACACACACATACATATGTATGTGTCCAGACCAGTATTAAAATAACACTTGGCACCAAACCTCCAGTTAATTTAATGATGATATTTCTACAGTCAGCCTGTATTTTGCACACATAAATTGTCCAGGCACCCCAGCCTGGAACCTGGCTCAGACTGTCAGGCCTGTGACTAGACCCTCCTACTGCTGTCCCCTACTGTTAGTCATGTTCTCATCCATGAAGCAGACACGTACCTGCAAAATATGAACAGAAAATGAGAGATTTCAACCTAGAGCAGTGCAGGAGGCACTGAAAGCCCCAAACGAGGCAACAGTTTATTGCCTAGATGAGTTCACTGAATTTGGGACAGGACCCAGACTAAGAGAAGGGCAACAGACATCCAAGGTGGTCTTCACCCAACATGAGCATGTCCTGCTCTGTTTCAGCCCCCAGCTTGGTGCCAATAGCTGGAACCAGTTGAACAAAGACCTGCTTTCTCCTTCCTCTCTTTAAACAGCACAGCCCCAGGCGTTAAATTGAGATCAGAGGATAGCTGAGCTGGTAAACCTCACCTGCCTATCCAAAGAGGATTAAAATGGCAATTTGTCTGCCTGCCCTTCCACAGCCCCTTGGGAAGCACACTCTCCATCACACTCTAAGATGAAATAATAACCAGTTTTGCTCACTTCTGTTTTTTCCAGGCTGATGACCATGTTAGAACGACCCATTCAAACAAGAGATGGAGCAAAACTGTCCACATAACCTCCTTGAGTCCTGCAACAGAATCCCAAGCTACCAACCAGCTGCCAGAGCAGCACCTAAGTTAAAACATTTCAATCAAAACGAGAAAAGGTTATTCCCCACCACACATTTTAAGTTGATTTTCTAGTAGATTTTTCCTAATGTTTTCTCAAGGGTTTGGCTGCTTTGACATTTTCTGAGTCACCGCACATCGCACTGGATGGAGGCGTCCCTGCAGCCAGATCCCATCTGGTGGGTTTGGGAGCAGCGGCAGGATTCATTTTCTGTCTAGAAATACAGCTGCGTTTATGAGTTGCAGTAATCCATTGCTGTACCCTGCTCCAAGTCCTTTTCCCCATTTGAGGAACGTGAAAAATATCACTGCCACACTGCCGGGATTGGGCGGGAGCAGGTACTAAGCCGTCAGCAGGCTATGCCCACCAGTGCTGGGCAGGTACAGGGTTTTATTGTTTTGGGTTTTGTTTTGGTTTTTTTTGTTTTGTTTTTTACTTCTTTGCTTTGATTTCATGTCAAACGTGCTCATGGAGGAGGGCAAAATCAGCACGATGGTTGTTGCTATGCCGTCTGCCCAGACGTTGTTCCTATTCTAAGCCCAGCTGACTTGCCATCCTTACAAAGCCTTACAAGTATTTTGGGCGTATTTTGTGGATTTTGTGATACCTTGTTCAGAAATAAAATCGATCAGTCCAAGAAACTGCCTTTTTTTGTTGTTGTTGTTCCTGCTGCTGTTGTTTAAATCTGCTAGAAACATATGGATGTGACCATGTCATTTCAGGCAGGCTGGTGTAATTCTTACATTAGCTGTACAGACTGAGCAGGGGGCTGCAGGCACAGTGGAATGGGATGTACATTTGTAAAATGTGGCAAAAGTCTTCTAAAACTGATATATTTATTTATTTTTATTTATTTATTATATATTATAT